CCTCTGCCAGCCCCACGAGCTCGAGCGCTACCTCATGTTCATCGGGGACCTGGAGAAGGTGGTGAACCTCCTGCTCTGCCTGTCCAGCCGCCTCGCCCGCGTCCAGAACGCCCTGAGGAGGGTGGACGGCAACACGGACGCCGAGGAGAAGGTGAGCGACCAACGAGCGGGGTGTTTCGCTTCTCCCCTGTGCTGCTTTTCCAGGTGGGGCTGTGCTTGCCCGGCAGCTCCACAGCTGCTGAGTGATGGGTGAATCCCAACCAGCTGTTGCCCAGGCAGTGCTTGGTGCCACGGGATGGGCTGTGTCTCCTTGGCCAAGGCACAGTGGACCCGTGGCATGGAGCACAAGCTCGGGGCTGGAGCGAGCTCTGCAGCTGGTGTTGGGGTAGCCCAAAGGGGTCTGAGCCAGAGGGAGGTACCTTAGAACCTGTTCCTGTGGAGGAACTCCAAACCTGGGCTTCAGAATGTCCAGGAGTTTGGGGTTTTTTCCACTTGTCATTTCCATGTGGTAATTGCTGCCTCTGAAGTAGCATTTCCCTTAGTGGGCTTGTCTCACCTGCAGCAGCAGGAGGAGGATGTGGTACCTACTTGAGATAAAGTTCCCTGTATTTCAACTCAACTAGCCAGTTTTGCTGGAAAACTTGGAATTGTCTCATGTCACCAGGAAATCTTTACAAGTCTGAAAAGTCTCTTTTTTTTTGCTAGAGGAAACAAGCCAAATTTATCCCAGGAATGTTGTTTTTCTGCTGTCCTTACTGCTTTCAGACGTGGTTTTATCACTGCAATACCTGCTGGTCTCTCCCATTTGAAATAATTTTTGGGGTGTCAGTCATGACTGCTGCTCTGTGCTATATTTATGGACATTGTCCTGAGACTGGATGTTTTCCAGCAGAGCTACCCCTGCAAAAATCATTGCAGCTGAGACAACTAATTAAAATGTAAAGGGTATTAAAATCCTGTAGAAGAGGGAAGGCTTCTCATGGGTCTGTTAGGAAGAAAGTTGATGAAGAGTTACTGTCTGCATCAAAATGACTTCATCATGTTTAAAAATGACACGTCAAGTCATTTTCAAAATGACTTTATCAGGTGTTTTAAGCATTTAATAGAAATCGCACTTTGTAGAATGACATTGACACTCTGGCCACGTGCAACTCGCAAAATACAAAGGTGTGTGTGCCTTGAAGAGCTTCTGAAATTACCAGAACATGAGCTATGTTGATGTTTTTCCTGAGGGCAGCAAAGAAGCAGTGAGCCTTGATGGGCTTCCCTGCCTGTCTTTGCCTTAGAAGCCACAAGAGCGAGTAATTCAATCGAGAAAAAACTCATGTGGAACACAAAGCCCCCAAGAGGAAGTAATTAAACTAAATCGACTGTGGCTTCCAAATGAAGATCTACAGTCTGCCAGGAATGATGAGTTTTCATAGTGTGCTGCTTTGTTTTCCCATCCATCAGCAATCGCTGAACGAGCGGCACAAGCTCCTGTCGAGGCAGCGCGAAGACGCGAAAGACCTGAAAGAGAATCTGGATCGTAGGGGAAGAGTCGTCTCTGGCATCCTGGCCAAGTACCTGACTGAGCAGCAGCTCCAGGACTACCAACACTTTGTCCAAGTCAAGACCTCCTTGCTGATCGAGCAGAAGGACCTCGAGGAGCAGATTAAATTTTTTGAAGAACAATTAGAAAGTCTGGAAAGCAGCATTCCCCTCTAGCCCCCCCCAGGGGACCCCCTGTTTGTGCACATCCCCATTGGTGACGTTTCCCTGGACATCCCCACACACTCAGCGTGGGGCATTTCTGCCAAACTGTTTG